GAGAGAGAGAGAGAGAGAGAGAGAGAGAGAGAGAGAGAGAGAGAGAGAGAAGAACACATACTGCGACTGCACAACATGATGTGCTTCGAAAGAAAGTACACCATTACCTTCGACGCATCGTTGCACCTCGCGATTTGCTCCTTGAAGCACCGTCGCCGATTCTTTCATGTGCGAACGAATCAGAATTTTTCATGATACAATGGAATTCCATTTTTAAATTACGTATAATATTACCTATATTTCCTAAGTTCAAGCTTTGTAAAATAAAAGGTTTCTTTGAGAGATTCCAATTTACAATAAAACTACAAGAGAAAAGAATATCAGAAATTTATCATTATTATGCATGTATATCTGTCTATTAACTAAAAAGATCTCAATTATTGAATAATGCCTGCAAGTGTATAAAATAAAGTATTTATGAAATATTTATTTAGAAATGTATTGTAATAAAAAATGTATAAATTATATAAAACTTATACACTTTAATGCGTTTTAGATATATAATCTTTGCATTTTTTTATGCTTCAATGTGCATACTTTGCATTAGCCTTTGTTTTTGTTGATAACTGACTATCCCTTCGTTGCACGCTTCTTCGCCTTCAGTCGCCTTTTGTAACAAGCTCGGCGAAGAGATTTTCCCCCGGGACATGCTTCTCCCTTGACCTCTTTGTTGTAACTCATTTTAATAACGCAACTTCAATAATTATGGTTATTCTAATAACGATACGCAGTAAACGTAGTACCAAAGCGCTCGTCATTACAACGAGAACTTTTGACAAAACTTACTCTCTTTTTAAACGAAATTTTTTTCTTTTTTAAAATAAAATCTCATAATATTGAAAGTAACTTATTTACAAGATATTCTGATTTATAATTTGTAAATAATATCACGCTCTTATTTAACTATCGATATTTTATTAAGAATAAATATTTCACAATATACTCTCTTATGACATCTCAAGACGGCTCAAACCAGCATACCGAAATATGTTATGTTATGATCATTGTTTTCATTTTAATTTAATTTAATTACAGTCGATTTCTATTTCTTAACTTTTTTATTAACTTTTTTAATTTGTTATTTGTGCGAACTTTATAATCGACTCTTACATGCCCTTTCTATTATTAATATTGTTATTTTAACATCAAGAGTCCTTATATTGATTAATTTATTTTTAATAAATATTTCTTAAATAGACTAAAAGAAGTAAATGCATAAGTGATCAAATTAGAAAGAAACTATATCTTTTCAAGTTTTTATACGTTTCTTACTTTCTATTCCAAGAATATTAATTCACATAAATTAAATTCAGAAGTTAAATAAAACTGAATATATCTATCTGCGCTCAATTAAAATTATACCATTTATTTGCACGTTTATTCCATTTCTTAAATTGATTTTTTATACAATTATTATTTACAAAAAATATTATTAAAAAAAATTAATTTTATATTTGTTAATTTGTTCTTATTATTATTTGCTGTCATCGTAACTTGAAGATGAGGAATATTTTTTACCAAGACTTCCTTTCTCATAGATAATCCAAGAACACGTGCGGAGAGACCCCGACGCACCCCTATCTCCATACGTTTCCCCTTGCAACGGCGGTCATCCCTTCGTCGAATGCAGCTCCGTTTTCCCGTCACCTTTTCCGGCGGTAAGTCTCTCTCTCTCTCTCTCTCTCTCTCTCTCTCTCTCTCTCTCTCTCTCTCTCTCTCTCTCTTCAGGCACGCGCCTCTCGCTTCTCCGTCCTCTTCGTCTAAATCGTGACCGAGCCGTTCTCTTCCCCTCGCACCCATCGTCGGCGCTCGATCCAAAGCTCCCTCTCTTTCCGTCTTCCCCCCCCCTCCACACTCTACCATCCACCCACTCACCTACCCCGACCCAGTGGCCCGCGGGCCACCCCCACCTCACCCTCGCGGCACGGCGCGGCGACTCCGCGGCCCCCGCGCGCCCATCTCACCGTCATCGCGCTGGTTCACGCTCCGTCAGTCTGTCGGCAACCTGCGTACCAGTTGTGTCGCAGCGCTCACGTAACAAAATTCTTATTATTATTACCATCACTCTTTACTTGCCTTAAAACTTGATCGGTGGTGTGTTGATTCTCGTTTTCCGACTTCGTTGCGCGCGTATTTCATTTCACGACACCGTCCCAATCTCTTTAATTAACGTTTTCATCGTCCAACCAGGAGGTCTCGCGCTCATCGAAGAAAATCGCCGTTGCCGCCGCCACCGCCGCCGCCGCCGCCGCCGCCGCCGCCGCCGCATCACGTCGTCCGCGCTCGCGCATGAAACACGCCACGACCCGCGATTGTACGCGCGCATCATACGGGGCGCACCGATAAAGTGACCGAGAGACAGAAAATTATCACGAGGGAGAGAGGGAGAGAGGAGCCCGAAGACGTCAAGTACGAACCGATCGCCTGCAAACCTTATCCGATTGCCGCTTGTACCTACGAGCGTCGCTGGCATTTCGGAGTATTGCTGCGTGTCAACCATCCGGTACGTAGCAAGTCGTACTCGTACCATCAGTACGCCTCGCGCATCCTCGTCTTCGCCGTCATCATCGCCGTCGCCGTCGTCCTCTTCGTTGTCATAGAGTGCAGCCGCGTGACGCAACAGCGCTGGAGTTCATCAGTCGGGACGTCATCAGACTCGTTTTACCCGGTGCATGGGCCACTCTTCACCAATAGATGAACACCATTCCTGCTTACAGGAATTACATCGCCGGATCGTTGCCGATCGCGTTCACCGCTGGCTGCCCTGCTCCACCTCCACACGGCGGGCACGCTGCTGCTGGTGTATCGATTGCTCTAAAATAGACGCGTGGGAACAACACCTGCAGGCCAGGCGTACACGTACACACATGCCGTTCGCAAGCGCATAAACGCGCAACAGACTATACACGTCTGTGTTTCACGCTTCGTACACTCTCATACATACGGCGCGTTCATTCTCTCCCTCTCTCTCCCTCTCTCTCCCTCCCTCTCTCTCCCTCTCGCTCTCTCTCGCTCTCTCACTCTCGCTCTCGCTCTCCGTCTCGCTCTCGCTCTCGCTACTTCTCGTCGTTACGCTGCCACGACCCTCTCGCAGCAGCAACGTGTGACAGGTGCAACGACGGCGACATCGTCGTAGGGTGGTCGGTGGTGGCGCTGGTGAAGAGCCGCAGCAGGAAACGGAAGAAGAAGTGAGTCGGGTCGGGGTTGCGAGAAAACGCGAATAAGAAGAGAAAAAAAAAAGTAGAAAAATCTAGGAAGAGAAAACAGAAGGAAGAGAGAAAGAAGAAAAGATAACCGGTTGAAGGGGCGAGAGAAGGATCAGATCAGGGAAGGAGAGGAGGCGTGGAGAAGAAAGAAGAAGGAGAGGAAGAGGAGGAGGAGGAGGAAGAGGAGGAGGCGGCCGCGGCCCCCGTGTTTCTTGCGAAGGGAAGGTTATTTTCCAGTGATACGTCCTGGAGGCGCCCGTCGTCTTCGCCGGTACAACCATAACGCCGCCCGCTTTAAAACGACCGAGACGGGACACGGTGGATTCATCGCCGCCACCCGCTCGTACCGCAGCCCCCGGCAACCCCGGACCGTCCGGCAAACTCGCCTGCATCATGGACGCGCCGCTATCGCAGAGCATGGACTCCGTTAACACGGTGGCCACCGGCGAAGACGAGGTAGGTGTTCTGTATAATACGAGATTTGCTGTTTGAGGCGCCGCGACGCCGCGACGCCGCGACGGCGGCGCGGCGCGGCGCAGCGCCGGTTCGTACCGTGTACGATAGCCGAAGGGGTGGAATCCACCCCTTCTGACGCACTCCCTCTGTCTCTCTTTCCCTTCCCGTCCTTCACCATAACTCTGAATTACCTTCCAGAACTACCATGCCAGTTTTTCACGAGACTATCGATGTATTTTTCTTCTTCCAAAACCTACCCCTTTCTTTTCGTTCGTTTCATCAAGGGGAATACTCGAATATCAGATATCGCCACCTTTTCTTTTCTTTCATCGAGAGGTTATATTGGTCTCTTCCCCCTTTCTCCTTCTTCCGTCCTTTCTCCCTCGCACTTCTACATTATCGCCATATTGGTTGGTTCTCCATCCCCCTTGCTCGCGTTTGTATATACACGTTTGTCTCCCTCACTCGTTCCAAGTTCCAACCCTCGCGCGTCATAGCGCGCGCAAGCGCGTAGGGGAGTACTCGCGCAGGCTGCTGACACGCGCGTACCTCCGCCGCGTGTAGAATGCCGCTCATTAATGATGCACTCGATGCAAGCTCGATATATCATGCATGCTCGAAATGGTCCAACGCTAGGCATAGCAAATGTAATAATTAAACAGAGACTAGAAATGCATTCCGTTTATAAATAATTACAATGTTTAAGGTAGACAGGTAATTCACAAAAACGAATACAGATACACGTTAAAATATTCTTCTTGATAACACGGTTTTAATCATATTCCATGAATCCGTATTTATGAATTGATTAGTCGAATTTTCGTTCAAGCGATAGAGAAATAATGATCATTGACGCATAGAAAATTATTAGAAATGGCACTTCTCTATTTGCATTATGGTATTCTCAGTAATGATTTATTATGTTATTACAGCGAAGCTAACAGATATCCTCAGATGAGTAATTAATAGAGATATTTAGGAATTAATTGGAATTAATGTATATGATTGTGTATCGAGAGGCAAAATGCAAAATTGATTATGAAACAGAGACACGCGAGGTTAGCAATTATATGTAATTGTACTATCCATTATGCTCGCGCGGTATATAACGCGCATTCATCAGGATCCTTTGTTCTTCGTGATCAACCGTAACTATATAATCTTGCGCAATTTTTCGCGATTGCTAACGTATTCTTTGTAGAGCTGGCAGCTGGTATGACGCAACTGTTCGAAGTTGAAACAGTTGTACGACACAACTGTTCATAGAGTAGAAACAAATCGTATCTTCAATTTATGATGTCGTATGGATTTCAAATCGAAAATTCTGTAGGGAAGTATTATGTTAGTTACAGTGCGAGTCGCGCGAAAACTTTGTTTTTACATACACAACTTTAATTTTTAAACCGCTTCAACAAAGTTTCTGTGCTGTATCATTGTATGTATTGCGCACTTGATTGCAATGGCATACGTCAAGAATATTCAAGAATGTCGTAAAACTTCTCAAGAAAAAATACAATTGTAGAAATAGCGGAGTTTCGCGAAGAAGTGTAGATGCGATACATTAAATTTTTACGCGTTGTTTTCGTTGAAATGTTTGGTCTTTTAATGTTTTATAGCATACGCTCCCGAATGCTTTCAAAGTAAATTTGAAATTTTTTACGTCCAGCAAGATTTTTTACATACACATACATAACAAATTATTGCACTAAAGTGACATGTCAAAATATTTTGTAACACTAATTATGTATCTTTGTCAACACGTATCTATATATCTAACAATTAAATCTATAAAATAAATAGATAGAGTATAGCGAAACAATTAAAAATATTAATAAATTATAATTTAAAGAAATGGAGCATTGAAAGATTTTCGTTCATTAATACATAAATTTATCAAGTTAAAAATAATTTTTCGGAAA